ATTCCTATTTGAGAGCAAAATGTTCATTTGAAAGTTAATTTACTGGAAAAGGTAGTTTGCAGGTCAACAATTTCAATAGAATTTTGTTACACTTTAATAGCATTGTCAAAAACTTAGATGAAGATGTGGAAAACATGAATGTAAAATTTTTAAATAAAGCAAAATTAAGAAGGAAAAAATTAGAATCTAGGGTTTACACCCAATATGATCGACTAGGCTAAAGCCAATCCATTCTTGCATTGTACCTGCTATCTCTCACCGTCATTGTTTTTTTTCCACTGTAGGATAGGGATCATTGCTCGGTAGCAACTCATGTGAGAAAATCTCTATGTTGCAAACTTAAGATGAGCCATTATGTAACAGACTTGCCCTATAAATTAGCACAGTTTTAGAATTAGGGGAGATCATGGCTTTGTGAGGGAGATGATGCTCTTCAGTACTGCCTGCTACTATTAATCTATGTTTACTAATATCTTGAGAATGTGCTGAATTCTGGCAGAATTGGGAAAGGTCATAGAGATGAGAGGGAGTCTAACAATTATTTCAAGAATTTCAGAGGCAACTGATTGTGTTTTGCATGAAGAAAACAAGATTGGATTAGCAAATCATTGTTTTTTTTATTTTCAGTTTGGGAATATTATTATCTAGAGCTGCCTGGTGGGTGGAAGTTACAGAGACTCAGACTTCATGCTAATGTAAGAAAGCAAAACAAGTTTTTGATGGTGGAAGAGGCTGCTATCTCTGGAAAAAATCAACAGAGGGTGGATTACTTTTGGTTAGGGCAGTCATGGAAGGGGTTAGACTGAGGCCCTTTTAAGTTCTCCAAGTTCAGAGGTACATGTATTGGTAAATTACTTGGCAAAATAAACTTACTGATAAGTACAATATTTAGTCAAAACTGGATCCTTTCTGTATGTAAGACTCAGTCATAATTACCATAAAATGCAATCCTTGTCTCAAATGACATTTTTGTGATGATTAACTACACAAAGTAATGTAATTGCCCAAATTACTCTCTTCCAATTTGTTCTCCATACTTGATTCAGAGTGATCATTAGCAAATACTAATCTCTTTATACCACCTCTCTGCTTAAAAAATGTGTTTTAAGGTCTTTAATAAAGACCTGCATTTTTAATGTGACCTACACAATCCAGCAGGTCTACCCCTTCTCCAGTCTTCTGTTGTTATCACCCTCCATTTCCAATCCAACCACAATGACCTGCTATTAAATTCTCATATATACACCATACTCCCATTTGTCGCATAAGTTCTCATGCTGTTTTTTTTTCTGTATGGATGTCTTTCTCATTTTTGAATGACCTGTACTCTCACCCTCAAAATCTCAGTTCACTTTTCACTTAATCAAGGAAGGCTTCCTGACCTTATTTAGCTTTCATTTCCTGTTACACATGCTTGTGCTCTGTATTTCTCATTCACAGCATTGATCATTGTTAGAATTTACATTTGATTATGTAGCTATTTGATTAGTATCTGTTTCCCCTACTGGAATATAAACATACTAAGGAATAGACATTCTCTGTTTTTCATTCGTCATTGAACTCCCAGTGCTTTGGGATATGTGCATATCACAATAAATATGTATTGAATGAATAATGTAAGTGGGACTTACTGCAGAAGTACAGAGGAGAACATTCAGAGAAAGGATGTGATACAGTGACCTCAAGGCAATAAATTAATTTTATATAGTGCTTGCATATTTTAGACTGGTTTTACTTTTCACAAAAGTTCTAAGAACTAAGATTATTGTATCATAGCATATTATATTGATTTTACAGATAAGAACATTTATCCCTCTTAATTTTACAGAAAAGGACAGTTAACTAGCTCAAGATCAATATTTATTAAGTAGCAGAATTAAGATAAGAAACCATGTGTTTGAGATTTTAGGAAAATTACCATGTACTTGTTATATGCAGATGTTATATTCTTTTATAACTTGCTTCAAATGGCATATGCTCTTATGATGTTCTTTAGGATTGCATTAGTTCAGTCTGCTCTAACAAAATACTGTAGACCAGGTGGCTAAAAGAACATTTATTTCCGTTTTGGAGGCTGGGAAGTCTCAGATCAAGGTGCCAGCAGATTTGATGTCTGATGAGAGCCCTTTTCCTGGTTTGCAGGGCCATTTTCTTGCTGTATCCTGACATGGAGTCTATGGAGAGCTGTGGTCTCTTCCTCTTCTTATAAGAGCACTAATCCCACAATGGGGGCCCTACTCTCATGATCTTATCTAAACACAGTTACCTCCCCAAAGCTCTCAAATACTATGACATTAGATTTCTCCCTTCCTTCCTTCTTCTTGTTTTCTTTTTAAGATTTTATTTATTTGTCAGAGAGAGAGAGGGAGAGAGAGAACAAGCAGTGGGAGTGGCAGGCAGAGGGAGAAGCAGGCTCCCCGCCGAGCAAGGAGCCCGATGCGGTACTCGATGCCAGGACCCTGGGATCATGACCTGACCTGAAGGCAGATGCTTAACCTACTGAGCCACCCAGACATCCCTTTCTTCTTCCTTCCTTCCTTCCTTCCTTCCTTCCTTCCTTCCTTCCTTCCTT